GTGTTCTCGGAAATGAGCTACCATCTGTGAAGATTCATGGCTTTCAAGCCAAATGATCAATCTTATGGCCACATTCGTGGCATAGTTTGTTCAAATGATCTCATATTGTGCACAAGGGTGCATATGGAATGGCAAACAATGTTGCCTAAGGAAGTTTTCATTTTCTTTGGACGAAATAACCATTTTTCATTTTCCGAGTGCCCAAAAGGAGGTTTTTTTGTGAAGGACCTCCCAAATAATTGTTGCAAAATTGTACCAAATCATTTTTCTAAAATACTAGGCCATATTTAATGTACAATTGACAAAATGGTTGGGTGTCAAAAGTTTTGATCCACCTCTGGTGAAAAAGACAAATTCCCGCCGATTCAGTTGGAAGCGGGTCAAATTTGAACTGTAGGTGCCTCATAGTTTGCTATTTATTTTTTTCAAAAATCATTTCTAGGTACATAAGTACCTATTTAATCAGAGAAACGCCAAAAAAATTCCAAGATTCAACCACTAGCTAGGAACGGTCATTCCCGCCGTTTTGACCGCATTTTGAAACGGGCATAAAAATTTCAAAAAAATTCAAAAAATTAGGAAACCTTCGCATTGTGGCATTATATGTGGCCAAGTTCCCAGGAAAAATAACAAACTTGTAATACAGCAATTATTTTTAAAAAGTGTTCTAAAAAACGAGCTATCACGTGTGGAGATCAATGGCTTTCAAGCCAAATGATCAATCTTATGGCCACATTCATGGCATAGTTTGTTCAAATGATCTCATACTATGCACAAGAGTGCATATTGGAATGGCAAACAATGTTGCCTAAGGAAGTTTTCATTTTCTTTGGACGAAAAAACCATTTTCCATTTTCTGAGTGCCCGAAAGGAGGTTTTTTGTGAAGGAACTACCAAATAATTGTTGCAAAATTGGACCAAATCAATTTTCTAAAATACTAGGACATATTTAATGCACAATTGACAAAATGGTTGGGTGAAAAAAGTTTTGATCCACCTCTGGTGAAAAAGACAAATTTCCCCCGATTCAGTTGGAAGTGGGTCAAATTTGAACTGTAGGTGCCTCATAGTTTGCTATTTATTTTTAAAAAAATCATTTCTAGGTACATAAGTACTTATTTAATCAGAGAAACGCCAAAAAAATTCCAAGATTCAACCACTAGCTAGGAACGGTCATTACCGTCGTTTTGACCGCATTTTGAAACGGGCATAAAAAATTCAAAAAAATTCAAAAAATTAGAAAACCTTCGCATTGTGTCATTATATGTGGCCAAGTTCCCAGGAAAAATAACAAACTTGTAATACGGTAATTATTTTAAAAAAGTGGTCTCAGAAACGAGCTATCAAGTGTGAAGATTCATGGCTTTCAAGCCAAATGATCAATCTTATGGCCACATTCATGGCATAGTTTGTTCAAATGATCTCATAGTGTGCACAAGGGTGCATATTGGAATGGCAAACAATGTTGCCTAAGGAAGTTTTCATTTTCGTTGGACGAAAAAACCATTTTTCATTTTCCGAGTGCCTGAAAGGAGGTTTTTTTGAGAAGGAACTACCAAATAATTGTTGCAAAATTGGACCAAATCAATTTTATAAAATACTAGGACATATTTAATGCACCATTGATAAAATGGTTGGGTGAAAAAAGTTTTGATCCACCTCTCATGAAAAAGACAAATTTCTGCCGATTCAGTTGGAAGCGGGTCAAATTTGAACTGCAGCTGCCTCATAGTTTGCTATTTTTTTTTAAATCATTTCTAGGTACATAAGTATCTATTTAATCAGAGAAACACCAAAAGTTTTCCAAGATTCAACCACTAGCTAGGAACGGTCAAGCCCGCCGTTTTGACCGCATTTTGAAACGGGCATAAAATATTCAAAAAAATGGAAAACCTTCGCATTGTGTCATTATATGTGACCAAGTTTCCAGGAAAAATAATAAACTTGTAATACGGTAATTATTTTAAAAAAGTGTTCTCAGAAATGAGCTATCAAGTGTGAAGATTCATGGCTTTCAAGCCAAATGATCAATCTTATGGCCACATTCATGGCATAGTTTGTTCAAATGATCTCATATTGTGCACAAGAGTGCATATTGGAATAGCAAACAATGTTTCCTAAGGAAGTTTTCATTTTCGTTGGACAAAAAAACCATTTCCCATTTTTCGAGTGCCCGAAAGAAGGTTTTTTTGTGAAGGAACTACCAAATAATTGTTGCAAAATTGGACCAGATCATTTCTATAAAATACTAGGCCATATTTAATGCACAATTGACAAAATGGTCTGGTGTAAAAATTTTTGATCCACCTCTCGTGAAAAAGACAAATTTCTGCCGATTCAGTTGGAAGCGGGTCAAATTTGAACTGCAGCTACCTCATAGTTTGCTATTTATTTTTTCTAAAAATCATTTCTAGTTACATAAGGACCTATTTAATCGTAAATACATGGTTTGGTGGCGATACGTCGAGGTTTGGGCGGTGGCCGAGGGCCCCAACTCTAGAGCGCGTAAACTCGCATGCCCGCCGCGTGGTCACCGCGTGACCGTGGCGTTGCCATGTGTTCTGGGCGGCCTAGGCATGTCTAGTGGGTTGGGCACTCCCCAGGTTGGTGCTAGGAAGAAAATTACAACATAATATTCTCACGAGGAGACCAATCGATGCTCAAACATGAATTAGCAGCCAAGTGTTTGATTAGCGGTATGGGAAATGTACATGGCTAATGGGCGTGAGTTTTGGTTGAGGATGATCAGTTACTAAGAAGACCGTTTTCACAAATTTTCAGCTCAAAAGGAGGAGACTAGGTGGTACTTGCTTTGCAAACCACCACACTGGACATAAATACGAATGTTGAAGCTCGGCTCAAAATAATGAATGGATTGAGCTGACATTTTGTGGAGGATGGTTATTTGGGCATAGGAAAGCATTGTAGAAAATGGATACTATTTGGACATGCCAAAGTGGTACTTCCTTCACAAACTGTTACTCTGAACAGAATAGGAAAATGAATATTTTTTAATTATTTTTGAACTAGGCAAGGAAGGTTTTTACATATTTGACGAAGATATGACCCAAAGAATTTATGAGATTTTTTTGGGAATTTTGGGAATGACAGAAATATAGGTTGCTTCACAACCTAGGGCAAAAACTGCCACATGGACATGACACATAGGCAAAACTGATGAGGTGGCGCCTAGTCATAGCAACCCACCACAATTTACAAGGCTATGACCATCTATATTGGTCGTTAACAACTAGAAATAAGGCAGCGGACTAGCACTGTTAGCTTTATGACCATTTCATGTAAGGAAATTATGATCTTTCTAACCAAAATGGTCGCAATGGTTTAGGGTTTGGAGCCCCTCAAACAGCTTTTGACCAATTGGTCTCAAATGGTCATAAATCTATGACCAATTCTTTCAGGGTCACTGACAGAAGGTCATAAGTTGACATATTTCTTGTAGTGCCCTAGCACTGCCAACCACTCGCAACCAAGCCACCCGCATGGCCAAGGCTGTCTGCCCGCACCTGAGACGCAAGTTCCGCCCACGAACACCACGCCTCCTGCCGCCCATGCCGCCGCCCGACACTCAGACCCCCCCAAGACCAGCAATGCGGCCGGCTTTGGTCCAAAGGGACGCCCACGACCGACGAAATCGCAGTCTACGTCCTGCCTTGAACTTCTCCAGAGTTGCCGCCGCACACAAACGGACGGGGAATAGGACGAAGGTGGAGCGGATGCATCCACGACCGGCACACCCCAGTGCCGGTGACGGGCAGCCCTAGAGATAGCGTCGCCCATCTCTCCCACCAATGTCCCCATCGGACACACGTCGTGCCGCCCCGCCGCGGCGGTCGAAACAACCCCACGCAAGGCCACCAACGTCGACCCGTCCACCGGCCAAGAGGCCTAGAAGATTGCCGCCTGCCGCCAAGACTGCTCACCGGGAGGCCCGTCCATGCCGCTCGCCAACATCCAGCCACCGGAGCCGACAAGAGGTCGGCCAACACGTCCGCCAAGTCCACTGATGTTGTGCCGCCACCCCTACCAGCCACCGGCCGACGTAAGGGCGGCTGCCCGCAACCAGGTCGCACCCGACCCGCACCCCTGGCCAGGACGGACTTGAAGCCACCGCCGCCGCCTGGACCAGCCGCTGCCGCCGTCCCTCCAGCGTGCACCGCCAGATCCAGCCGGAGAGCCACGATCCGCACCAGCTGCAGCAGCCGCACCACAAGCGCCCGCCCGCCGCCGCCGCGCCGCCACGAGGCGCCGCCGACGCCATCAGGACGCTGCGCCGCTATGCTGCTAGGCCCTGCCATAAGCCAGCGCCTCCGGGTGATAGGCTGGCCCGCTCCAGCCGAAGTCCGCGCGCAGAAGGTAAGGCCCCGCCGCCGCCCTTGCCGGCCGGGCTTTGTCCGGCAGCACGCTGGGCGGCGGCGTGGAAGGAGGCCAAGAGAGGGGGGTAGGAGAGGTGGCGGCTAGGGTTCCCCCCGGCGGCGCCCGCTGGAGCGCCACAGGAGGGGGGGCTGTATCTTGTTTCCCAATTCCCCCATGGCCTCACATTCTAATTGCCTCCTGAATCAGGTTCTTGATGCCAATACTGCTGAAGCTATCACACTCCTCAGATTGCCTTTGAGTGGTTCAGGAGCTGACAATCAATGAAAAGCCATGCCCAACCATCCGAAACAGAATAAACAACACAAGCATCTAATGTTGATGCTCAATTCATCTTTGTAGTCGGTCCACACAAAACAGGGCAGCAGTGACGATACAAAACAAGAACGGCACGCATGAAGTAATCGACTTAATAAAGACACAATGGTTAAGTAGGCTACGTACATGGGAAGTCTCAACAATGCTTTCTTATATCTAGCAAGAAAGGAAAATAGCAATTCTACTCACATGAGTAGTTTTGGAACATAAATGAGCCATACATGGAGAGGTAGCATAACCAGTGCTACTAAAATTAGGATGACTATATGATGATAGTAGTACTGTAGGCATTACTTCCACATTGCCATGATGATATCCTTTGCCGTATTCAGTTCAGCCGGCATGATTCTAGCTATGAGCTCCTTGAGAACAGATGGGCAGCTGGACTTGAGATGCTCGTAACCATCACTCGCCATCATAGCCTCCAAATTGGATGGAGAAGCAAGGAATTGGAAACAAGCTTCTTTGAGACGACTGAAACCATGTTGTTCGGCTAGAGCCAAATAAGTTGCCACCATGTTGGAATCAATGTGATTGCACAATTTCTCCTCGCATATCTGCTTCAGCCTCATGATGTTGTACCTGTCAGCGGCGACGAGCAGATGGCTGGCCATCACTACGTCAAGCACTGGACGAACAGAGTCGGTGTATATGAAGTGGAGCAAGGACTTGAACACATCAGCTTCCATGTCACGGATTTCAATAGGACTTGCGGCAGAACTCTCCTGCATGGAGCCGAGAAGCTCCGCCTTGAAGACGGATGACCGAGCAGCTAGGACACACCTGTGAGCCGATAATGTCTGTCCACCGACTTGAAAGGTTAGGTCTGCTGCGTCCTTGTTCTTTAGGAGGTCGCCTAGATGCCAGTGCAGGTCGCTTGGATGAACCCTTGTTTCTTCGCCGTGGATGACGGTAACATTCATCTGTCAGATGGGCCGATGCCTCTAGATCAGCCTTGTTGAGAAAGTTATCGTACCCGTTGGCTGAACCTTGCCCTGAGAAGGTACTTACAGTTTTGGAGGTAGGGCTGTATGAAGGCACTGGTTCTCCATTCTTGTCAAGTACACTGAACGTGAATTTCGCCTTCACATCTTCGGCGCCAGCAGATTGAAGAAGTAGATAAAGAGATATAGAATCAGCTAAATCCTTTGGGTAACCATTTGGGCAGTATTCCACGGCCCAGTCGTGTCCTCCAACACTGAAAGGGGCAGACGTCATCCACTCGCCGTTCTTGAGTAGCGCCTTCGCTCTTGAGTACCCATCCACCTTGAGCACGCACGACTTCTCCTCAGCTACAATGGCAGCAGATATCTTGCACTGCTCTGCCATTCTGCAGGTGGGCTTGCTAGATTGGATTCTAGGATGGAAGACTGACGAGGAAAGATTTTGCTGCATCGTCATCTACCTATGTACAGAGGCGCGCCTAGGAAGTTAAATCCTTTCGTTTCACATTCAGTCGAACGAATAATCAGCGATTAACACCCCTCATTAATGCTCCGCTCTTTGGGCTCCTTTTTGCGTCATGGCATGCAGAAATTTTGCGCGGATGCAAACATCTACTACTCCCTCCGGACGGGATGCAAACAGGTGATGCACGATGGAGCATTGGCAGATGAAAACGGTTTGTCTGCCCCGGCGCCTACTGTCTCCGTTTATTTTCTGAAAACGAAGAGACAAGGGATAAAATCCAGAAACACTATTGTGGACAACATCTGCAACAAAGGACCTAATCGTCAGATTGGTGTCCGTGCGACCAGAAAATTCTGCCTCCTTTCCAAATTACTCGAACAGGTAGCATATAGTATATGGCTTGGCAAATTTCATGGCCATATAATTCAGAAGCATCTTGACACTTTGAGTGGGCAAAACAGCAGGCAAGGGGAGTGTTTGAACACCAATAACAGTACTACAGTCCAGCTGAACGTAACGAACTGAACAGATCATCATCCACACCACAAGCACATTTTTGTTTAACAAATTACAAACTGTATATATAGACTTTGGAGAATGTTTTCACTATACTCGACCGCAGTAACTTTCTCATTCTCCAAACGCATCATATACGTGGTATTTAGCAGACAACAGAAATATAATAGTCGTGCTTACCTGAAAACTAGAAAAACCTGGTTTCCCCTACAACCCCTTCCATCGATTTTTCTAAAAACCAAGCGTCAACAGCATAAAAGCATGAGTTTTGAAGGAAAGAAGACAAGTTAATGAGGGGGGCGACGCGGGGGGCGACTTGCGGCTCTGCCGCCGGGATCCCTACGGGGCCGCCACCAATCTCTTCCGGGGATCGCCGGAAGGTGGGGGGCCGGTTCTGGGCCATTACCGAAGACAACGATGGCGAGGGCGACGAGGAGGGAGATGCGGCGGCGCCTCCATCTCCTCCATCGGCGACTCCTTCGGATTTCGTTTGTGATTTTTTTAGTGTTGGATACGACGAGGACGAGGTGGCTTCAACCGTGGACAAGATCCTTCCCGTTGATGATCCGGCGAGGATAGGGCTCCATGCGGGGGAGACGACGGAGATGGTGCACCGAGTTGTTCACCGGCGAACGGCAGTCCGACCTTGGAAGGGTCCTTTGCCTAAGGTATGTCTTCCAAATTTGACACTTTTTGATATGATTCGACCGGATTCTTGGACATTGATCAAGAGGCGTAAGAATGCTCGCCGGAATTGTGCGAGATCGGCGCTGGAGGTGGCCGCGGCTTCGTCGCCAGCGGCCACGGCGACCCAGATCCGTGCCGCTCGCCAGGAGCGTTTGAACATGCTCCTGGGCCGAGCAGAGCCGAGTCCTGTTGGGCCGGTGGGTACGTTTGGGCCGAAGTCTGGTGGGTATGAGGCCCAGCCGGACGTGGCTCCAAACGATACCGGGAGGAGGGGCGCATGCATGTTACGTTCGTCATCATCTACTCCTCCGCCGCGACCTAGGGTTTCGCTCCGTCGTGTGCCGCACCTGCGTTCTGCCGGACCTGGCCGGGCTCGCCGCATCCCTCCCCTAGGTGTGATGACGGGTTCTGGTGGCGCTCATCCTCGTCGGGCCTCCGGGGCGCCGCCGCCGGGCCAAGGCAGTGGCCGGGGCGCATTGCCGCCGGGCCAAGGCAATGGTCAGGGCGCGCTGCCACCGGGCCAAGGGAGTGGCAGGGGCGTGCTGTCGGCGCCGGCTTCGGCTGTCGGACGTGCTGGTGGGCAGCTATCCAAGGTCGCTGCGGAGCGCGGGTCAGGGGGGGGGGGCGACTGAGGCTTACTTGGCTGGAGGGGCTGCCGTGGGGAGGCCGCCGGCTCCGGCTGCACCGTCGGGCGTGCGAGGAGGACAGGGCTCCAGCCCTCGGCCGGTCGTCTCGGGTGGTGCTGCGGTGGTAGCTGTGGGCCGGGGAACTGTGCCACCAAGGCCACCGGCCCCTCCTCCACACGTTGTTGCTCGCCCGCCCGCGCCGTCACGGTCCATCGGTACTGTGGCTGAGCCCCGAGGTCAATGGGGGGATGACGACTACGGTGCCTATGGGGCTGGCCAGCACCGTGGCTCTTCGTCCACGGGTGGCGGTCGTGGTTATGCTTGGCAAAGCGTTGGGTCGGTTGAGAGGCCATTCTTGGGTCCTTCAGGCGGCTTCGTTGAGGGGCCTTCTGATCTGGGTCATCGGCAGCGAGGAGGTTACTGAGGCCATTGTGGTGGTCGGGGCGGCCGAGGGGGCGGTACCGTCCATGTCCACCGCCACCACCTGTTGTCGTCGAGCAGATGACAGTTGACGGGGCTGCCGAGGAGCCTGTACTGACCGATCACGCTATGGAGGTGGTGATGGCTCTTGCTACTGTTCAGGTTCCTGAGAACGAGGTTATGACTGATGTGTCTGCGGAGTTGACTGATAGGGCTGAGGCGGATAGGGCGTCCAAGTGGGCGCGCAGGAAGGTAAAGATGCTTTGTTATCATTGCAGAGACAAGGGACACTTTATTGCGGAGTGTGTGGCTCTGTTATGTGATACCTGCGGTAAACTAGCACACGACTCTGGGGATTGTTCGTTACTGCGAGATCAGGCACCGTCACTCATGATGTATAGAGTTTAGTGTGCTGAGCTAACATTTTTCGACTCTCCGACTGAGCGAGAGGTTTCTGACGAGTCCCCGAGTTTGACCACGGGGATTGTCAAGGTCACCAGAGGGGAGAGTCTGAGACACAAATCGTGCAGAGGCTTCGAGAGTTGGCCCCTGGGGATTTCCAGTGGGACCTTGTCAGTCTTGCTGAAAAGATGTTCAGGGTTGAGTTCCCTTCCGTGGAGGATTGCTACGTCTTGAGCTTGCGTTGGTTTTCCTCGAAGAGGAGAGGGTGATGTAGCAATAGTAGCGTAAGTATTTCCCTCAGTTTTTGAGAACCAAGGTATCAATCCAGTAGGAGGCTCCTCAAAAGTCCCACGCACCTACACAAACAAACTGAGAACTCGCAACCAACGCAATAAAAGGGTTGTCAATCCCTTCACGACCACTTGCAAAAGTGAGATCTGATAGAGATAGTATGATAAGATAAATATATTTTTAGTATTTTATAATATAGATACAAAAAGTAAAGATGCAAATAAAAGTACATTGGAAGAAAATATGATAAGAGATAGACCCGGGGGCCATAGGTTTCACTAGTGGCTTCTCTCAAGATAGCATAAGTATTACGGTGGGTGAACAAATTACTGTCGAGCAATTGATAGAAAAGCGAATAATTATGAGATTATCTAGGCATGATCATGTATACAGGCATCACGTCCATAACAAGTAGACCGACTCCTGCCTGCATCTACTACTATTACTCCACACATCGACCGACTCCTGCCTGCATCTAGAGTATTAAGTTCATAAGAACAGAGTAACTCATTAAGCAAGATGACATGATGTAGAGGGATAAACTCATGCAATATGGTATAAACCCCATCTTGTTATGCTCGATGGCAACAATACAATACGTGCCTTGCAACCCTTTCTGTCACTGGTAAGGACACCGCAAGATTGAACCCAAAGCTAAGCACTTCTCCCATGGCAAGAAAGATTAATCTTGTAGGCCAAACCAAACTGATAATTCGAAGAGACTTGCAAAGATAACTCAATCATACATAAAAGAATTCAGAGAAGATTCAAATATTATTCATAGATAAACTTGATCATAAACCCACAATTCATCGGATCTCGACAAACACACCGGAAAAAGAGTTTACATCGAATAGATCTCCACAAGAGAGGGGGAGAACATTGTATTGAGATCCAAAAAGAGAGAAGAATCCATCTAGCTAATAACTATGGACTCGTAGGTCTGTGGTAAACTACTCACAACTCATCGGAAGGGCAAGGGTGTTGATGTAGAGGCCCTCCATGGTCGATTCCCCCTCCAGCAGAGTGTCGGCGAAGGCTCCAAGATGAGATCTCGCGGATACAGAAGGTTCCGGTGGTGGAAATTGTGTTTCGTCTGCTCCCTAGATGTTTTCGGGGTACGTAGGTATATACAAGAGGAAGAAGTACGTCGGTGGACGCCCGAGGAGCCCACGAGACAGGGGGCGCTCCCTCCTATCTCGTGGGAGCCTCGGCTGCTTCTTGACTTGCACTCCAAGTCCTCTGGATCACGTTCGTTCCAAAAATCACACTCCCGAAGGTTTCATTCCATTTGGACTCCGTTTGATATTCCTTTTCTTTGAAATACTGAAATAGGCAAAAAAACAGCAATACGGGTTGGGCCTCCGGTTAGTACGTTAGTCCCAAAAATAATATAAATGTGTAAAATAAAGCCCATAAACATCCAAAAGGGGTAATATAATAGCATGGAACAATCAAAAATTATAGATACGTTGGAGACGTATCAAGCATCCCCAAGCTTAATTCCTGCTCGTCCTCGAGTAGGTAAATGATAAAAAGAAATTTTTGATGGGAATTCTACCTAGCATAAT